AATTCCCAGCCAGGCCAGAGCTGTTTCTTGAGCAAAAATCAATTTTTTAGGAGATTCCAGTGGATTTTTGCCCTCACTCCCGGCTCCAGGGTGCGTTCGGAGTCTCCACCAGAGGGCGCTGTGTCGCTGCCAGCCCCGAGCTCCTCATCCCAGCGAGCCCACTAATTAACTGAGACGCTAATTAGCAGCTGCTCTGGGGGCTGGACATGCTCATGTGACCGCTGCTTCCTCTTGCCTCACTTTCCTAAAAAAAAATAACCCAAAAATGTCCCTTTTTTGCCCTGATTTGTGCACTTGGGGTGTCCTCGGTAGGGGATGGATGTGGGGTCCCCTGAGGCACAAATTTCATCCAAACCGGGAGCAAAACGGAGAAAAAACAAAAAAACTCAGCGAGGTTGTTCTTGTAATTTCTGGTGGGAAAATATTTGTGCAAATCTTTGAACAGGGAAGGGGCTGGAGAATTCCTGAGGGAAATGGGAAAGGAATGGAGAATTCCTGAGGGAAATGGGAAGGGAATGGAGAATTCCTGAGGGAAATTTGAAGGGAATGGAGAATTCCTGAGGGAAATGGGAAAGGGAATGGAGAATTCCTGAGGGAAATGGAGAATTCCTGAGGGAAATTTGAAGGGAATGGAGAATTTCTGAGGGAGATGGGAAGGGAATGGAGAATTCCTGAGGGAAATGGAGAATTCCTGAGGGAGTTGGGAAGGGAATGGAGAATCCTGAGGGAAATTGGAAGGGAATGGAAAATTCCTGAGGGAAATGGAGAATTCCTGAGGGAAATCGGAAGGGAATGGAGAATTCCTGAGGGAAATGGAGAATTCCTGAGGGAGAAGGGAAGGGAATGGAGAATCCTGAGGGAGTTGGGAAGGAAATGGAGAATTCCTGAGGGAAATGGGAAGGGAATGGAGAATTCCTGAGGGAAATTGGAAGGGAATGGATAATTCCTGAGGGAAATGGGAAGAGAATGGAGAATTCCTGAGGGAGATGGAGAATTCCTGAGGGAAATGGGAAAGGAAGGGAGAATTCCTGAGGGAAATTTGAAGGGAATGGAGAATTCCTGGGAGAAATGGGAAGGGAATGGAGAATTCCTGAGGGAGATGGAGAATTCCTGAGGGAGATGGGAAGAGAATGGAGAAATCCTGAGAAAAATGGGAAAGGGAATGGAGAATTCCTGAGGGAGATGGGAAGGGAATGGAGAATTCCTGAAAGAGATGGGAAGGGAATGGAGAATTCCTGAGGGAGATGGAGAATTCCTGAGGGAAATGGAAAGGAATGGAGAATTCCTGAGGGAAATGGAGAATTCCTGAGGGAAATGGAAAGGAATGGAGAATTCCTGAGGGAGAAGGGAATGGAGAATCCTGAGGGAAATGAATGGAGAATTCCTGAGGGAGAAGGGAAGGGAATGGAGAATTCCTGAGGGAAATGGGAAGGGAATGGGGAATCTGAGAAAAGTGGGAAGGGAATGGAGAATTCCTGAGGGAGATGGAGAATTCCTGAGGGAAATGGGAAAGGAAGGGAGAATTCCTGGGAGAAATGGGATGGGAATGGAGAATTCCTGAGGGAAATGGAGAATCCTGAGGAAAATGGGAAGGGAATGGAGAATTCCTGAGGGAAATGGGAAAGGGAATGGAGAATTCCTGAGGGAGAAGGGAAGGGAATGGAGAATCCTGAGGGAAATGAATGGAGAATTCCTGAGGGAAATGGGAAGGGAATGGAGAATTCCTGAGGGAGATGGGAAAGGAATGGAGAATTCCTGAGGGAGATGGGAAAGGAATGGAGAATTCCTGACGGAATTGGGAAAGGGAATGGAGAATTCCTGAGAAAAGTGGGAAGGGAAAGGAAAATTTCTGAGAGAGATGGGAAAGAGCTGGAGAATTTCTGGGAAAGATGGGAAAGGGAATGGAGAATTCCTGAGGGAAATGGGAAAGGGAATGGAGAATCCTGAGGGAAATGAGCTTTTCATGCTCTGAGTTCCCCCCCATTCCTGAAATGACACAAATCCCTCTTTTTTTTTTTGGGATTTATATCCTGCAGAAACGGAGCTGCCCTGGCTCAGCAATCACTGATGGATCCCATTTCCCAGGGGTCATTAAGACATTTAATTTTGTCGCTAATTGCCTGGACAAAATTGCTGATCCTGGAAGATTGAGGCCACTTGTGTAACACCAACCACATTGAAACAACCTCATTTAAACCCAAACCTTGCTTCCAAATCCTTCCTCTGGATATTTTTCCTCCTTTCCCTGTTTTTCTATGGTGAAATTTTCCCAGCTGGGGGAATATCCCCACCCTGGGGAATGTTTGGATTTTTGTGGAGGTGTTTTTAGGGATTTTAAACAATTTAAATTTTTAATTTTTAAATTTAATTAACAATTAATTAACAATTTAATTTTTTTTAATTTTTAACATTTTTAAAATTTAAAATTTAAATTTTTTTTACTTAATATTTTACTGGAGAAATCCCCAAATTGTTGGAGCAACCTATGGGATAACTCTGAGAACCCTGCAAAGCAAAATTCCTGCAGTTTTTGGGATGTTCTTGGTGTGGATTTTGCTGGTTTTGGGATGTTCTTTTTGTGTATTTTAAAATTCCTGCTGTTTTTGGACGTTCTTAGTGTGGATTTTAAAATTCCTCCAATCTTTGGGATGTTCTTGGTGTGGGTTTTAAATTCCTGCAGTTTTTAGGATGTTCTTGGTGTGGATTTTAAAATTCCCACTGTTTATGGGATGTTGTTGGTGTGGATTTTAAAATTCCCACTGTTTATGGGATGTTGTTGGTATGGATTTTAAAATTCCTGCATTTTTGGGATGTTCTTGGTGTGGATTTTAAAATTTTTGAAATTTTTTTTGGTGTGGATTTTAAAATTCCTGCAGTTTTTGGGATATTGTTGGTGTGGATTTTAAAATTCCTCCCATTTTTAGGAATTTTAAATTCCTAATTTGGTGTGAATTTTAAATTCCTCCAATCTTTGGGATGTTCTTGGTGTGGATTTTAAAATTCCTGCATTTTTAGGATGTTCTTGGTGTAGATTTTAAATTTCCTGCTGTTCTTGGAATGTTCTTGGTGTGGATTTTAAAATTCCTCCAATTTTTGAGATGTTCTTAGTGTGGATTTAAAATTCCTTCCATTTTTAGGATGTTCTTGGTGTGGATTTTGCCATTTTTGGGATGTTCTTGGTGTGGATTTTAAATTTCCTGTTGTTTTTGGGATGTTGTCAGAGATAGAACAGATCCCCTTTAGATCCTGGCAGAGTCTTTGGACCGAAATAATTCAATAATTCCATTAAACCTCAGGAGCAGGGAAGGGGAAAAAAAAAAACTCTTTTAAAAATAGAAATAGATAGGGAAATTTTGGTATAGGCAGGGAAACCTGGATAGAGCTGAGGAAACCTGGATACAAGCAGGAAAATAGGCAGGAAAACCTGGATACAACAAGGAAAGCCTGGATAGAGGCAGGAAAACCTGGATGCAGGCCAGAAAACCTGGATACAGGGAAGGAAACCTGAATAGAGGCAGGGAAATTTTGGTATAGGCAGAGGAAGCCAGGATACAGACAGGAAAACCTGGATACAGACAGGAAAACTTGGATGCAGGCAGGAAAACCTGAATATGGGGAAGGAAACCTGGATAAAGCCAGGGAAATTTTGGTACAGGCAGGAAAACCTGGATACTGACAGGGAAACAGCCAGAGGCAGGGAAACACTCAGGGAAACCTGGATAGAGCCAAGGAAACCTGGATACAACTGGGAAAATAGGCAGGAAAACCTGGATACACTCAGGGAAACCTGGATGCAGGCCAGAAAACCTGGATGCAGGGAAGGAAACCTGGATACAGACAGGGAAACCTGGATAGAGCCAGGGAAATTTTGGTAGAGGCAGGAAAACCTGGATACAGATAGGAAAACCTGGATACAACTGGAAAAAACCTGGATAGAGGCAGGAAAACCTGGATAGAGGCAGGAAAACCTGGATACAGGAAAGGAAACCTGGATAGAGGCAGGGAAATTTTGGTATAGGCAGGAAAACCTGAAACCAGACAGGAAAACCTGAAACCAGACAGGAAAACCTGGATAGAGGCAGGAAAACTTGGATGCAGGCAGGAAAACCTGAATATGGGGAAGGAAACCTGAACAGAGCCAGGGAAATTTTGGTAGAGGCAGGAAAACCTGAATCCAGACAGGAAAACCTGGATAGAGGCAGGAAAATTTGGATACAGGGAAGGAAACCTGGATAGAGGCAGGGAAATTTTGGTAGAGGAAGGAAAACCTGGATACAAACAGGGAAACCTGGATACAGACAGGAAAACCTGGATACAGGGAAGGAAACCTGGATAGAGGCAGGGAAATTTTGGTACAGGCAGGGAAACCAGGATAGAGCTGAGGAAACCTGGATACAAGCAGGAAAATAGGCAGGAAAACCTGGATACAGGGAAGGAAAACCTGGATAGAGGCAAGGAAATTTTGGT